AGATTGACAGCTTGCTGTATCTGGAGCTAGTTGTGCTGGTCTCATTTTGTGGACTGATTGGAAAAACAAGATGCCACCAGGTAGCCATCTTGGATTTTGAGAGTGTAAGACTGTTGAGGGATCATTTTCGAATTTCATATGAAGGCTTTCTTTGGCCATTAGATGCGCATGTTTTGTTTTTGGAGTGATCAGGAAAACAATATGGCCAGCAGGCAGCCATTTTGGATTTCAAGACGATTTTGTCCCTTTTTTATCAAGAAGCACTAGTACTAGTAGTTAATGAAAGATTTTTTTTCAAAGGGAGCAATTGGAAAAACAAAATGGCCACCAGTCAGCCATCTTAGATTTTGAGAATTCATGATTGTTTTCGCTACTTCTCAAGAATTGCTTGAAAATTCTTTTGTTTTACAAATTTCATTAGTAGGTTCCTCTATTCTATAATTGTGCATGTTTAATTTTGAGACTGATAAGAAAACACAGATGGCCACCAACAGCCATCATGGACTTCGCGAGTTAAAGTATGGGAAAATAACTATAAATATGAGAAAGGAGGAAAAATTGCATCTCAATAATTTTGCCTAACTCGTTTATACCAATTATGGTGCTTTTTTAATTCATTGCCAAAAAAAATCCAGTCTGTATCTACCATCTCAAATCATGGAATGCATTCTCCAAGATCTTATTGTTTTTCTTCTTACCAGTAATTGTGTCAAACTTGTTTTAGAAAGATTAAAAAAAAATCAAGACCTTTAAAATTTGATAAAATAATGGGAGGGGTTTTCCAGAAGCAACAAGCTTTTTAACTATTGCTTCCTATACATAATGGTACATCAGATCTGACACCAAAATGTAAAGAACTTTAAACTAAATGAGATAAACCTTCAAAAAACTACTGGAGTAGACCGAAATAGTCGAGATGTTTAATTTTAATGACCAATCTGATTAACATCTCTTTCAAAACAAATCTCATGCATTATACCCGTTTGTCCTACTTATCGGTATATTGTCTGGTGTTAAAAACAGGGTTGATCATACATTCCAAGGGGCCACCCAGGGGTAATGTTAAGTGACGAGAATCACTTCAATTTTCATATTTTTTTCAATTATCAGCTGCAACACAGAACTGATCGATTATCAGACAATTATAATTTTAAAACTTGATTGATAATAATTGTCTGGAATTATAAACTTTATATTTAATTCTAAATCTTGAAATTTTGTCGCGCTAGAACAGAGTAAATTTTTAAATATAATCCTTCACTACAATTATTTAAATTGAAAATATATTCAAAATGTTTATTCATCACAAATTACAGTCGTGACCTATCAAGTTTACCTAGTTTAAACAAGGAATGAAGCATATCTTCTTTAACATCAATGTTCAGCATTATCTGGTATATTTTAACTTTTTTGCTTTCAAGTATTTTAATAGTTATGTAAGTATTTAGAATGGTGTTATGATAAAAAAAACCTTTGTGAGCCTTTTTGAGCAGTCAAAATGACAGGCAGGTTTACTAATCAAGAAATCTAACTCGTAATAAAGAGACAAGAATTTGTCTTGTTTTTTCAAGCCCATGTTTGTCTTAAAAAGATTAATTTGATCAAAGGGTAAAAAAGGTCGTCACAGAATAGCTAATTATCTCGTAGTTAAATCTTAGAATGAAATATATCTATCACCATAGTAGTTGTAATCCAATACACTGTTTAATGTACTCATTTTACATTATAAATTATTCATCGGACATACATCGGGGGTCTCAATACTAGGGTGTGTTGTTTTTGCAATGATACTTTAACCGATATTGAGCACAATTTGTTTTTTAGCTCTCCATTACCAGGCCAAAAGTTCCTGTTTTGTTTCTCCCTATGTAAGCTACCAACTATAAGTTAATAGTTACACCTACCAACAACTATAAGTTAATAGTTACACCTACCAACAACTATAAATTGATAATTACACCTACCAACATCTATAAATTGATAATTACACCTACCAACAACTATAAATTGATAATTACACCTACCAACATCTATAAATTGATAATTACACCTACCAACAACTATAAATTGATAATTACACCTACCAACATCTATAAATTGATAATTACACCTACCAACAACTATAAATTGATAATTACACCTACCAACATCTATAAATTGATAATTACACCTACCAACAACTATAAATTGATAATTACACCTACCAACATCTATAAATTGATAATTACACCTACCAACAACTATAAATTGATAATTACACCTACCAACATCTATAAATTGATAATTACACCTACCAACAACTATAAATTGATAATTACACCTACCAACATCTATAAATTGATAATTACACCTACCAACAACTATAAATTGATAATTACACCTACCAACATCTATAAATTGATAATTACACCTACCAACAACTATAAATTGATAATTACACCTACCAACATCTATAAATTGATAATTACACCTACCAACAACTATAAATTGATAATTACACCTACCAACATCTATAAATTGATAATTACACCTACCAACAACTATAAATTGATAATTACACCTACCAACATCTATAAATTGATAATTACACCTACCAACAACTATAAATTGATAATTACACCTACCAACATCTATAAATTGATAATTACACCTACCAACAACTATAAATTGATAATTACACCTACCAACATCTATAAATTGATAATTACACCTACCAACAACTATAAATTGATAATTACACCTACCAACATCTATAAATTGATAATTACACCTACCAACAACTGTAAATTGATAATTACACCCATTCTTGGAAAAGCTGTCTTGAAAATAACATTCAAGATCATCCCTCTCCGTTCTCAACTTTTATCCAGCAATTTTTAGGACATGTTGATTTTGTATTGTATTCAGTACACAACAACTAACCATTGAAACAAGGCACAACATATTTTTTTTTCAAACTTCCTGTTAATTTAAAGCCATAATATTTTCTATTTTTGTTTTTCCCCATTAGTTTGGTTTGGTATTATTTAACGTCCTATCAACATCTTTGGTCATTTAAGGACGGCCTCCCCTATGTGCAAGATGCATGCGTGTAGTGTATAGGTGTGTGTTACCCACCATCAAAATTCAACATTTTTTCATTGACTTGTGTCCACTTGACTCATTCACCCCTTAAATTTCATAATGGACTATCCTAACCTTTGAATTGGAAGAGTTGAAATGTGACTTCAGGGGTGAATGAGTTAAATCTAAGAAGTTGGTGAAATGGTTATAAATCAATAGTAGAGCCAGCAGACTAGCAAGACTGCACCTCAACTTTTTGCCATGCCATGGTACTTAATGTTACCTAGTCATGATACTTAATGTTACCTAGCCATGATACTTAATGTTACCTAGTCATGATACTTAATGTTACCTAGCCATGATACTTAATGTTACCTAG